GTTCGGCTATTGCGTACTGAATAACTCGACTATATCCCAATCACGACAATACCATCTATGCAATGATAGCGTCTTAGCAACAGTCTCGTTTGTGCGTAATTTTGTGCTTGGACCGGTCTCATGGCAACTCCAAAATCTGGATAAACGCCAGGAAAAGGTTGCGCACACCTAGCTGAACCAAAATTCCGATTTATCCATTACTTTTCCACTTCGGTAGAAGATTCGATCCAAGATGACAGTAGAAGTTCACTATCTCAAACCTTTGCCGTGTTACGTGAGCGGACTAACATCACCTTCCACGAGCATTCTTCTTTGTTCCAGAAAAAAAAATTTTTCCAGACGCTCTTTCGCTGTCTTCGTACTTAACCACTCCCAGGCATTTTAGACACATTGGGCATTTCAGCATTTGTCCTTCTTTCTTCTCAATAGACTCAGGAGAAGTGCGCTGTCTGTTGGGATGTACTGTCTCCAGGCAGGCAATTACGTTGTGGGCACGTTTTTCATGACGCTTGTCTGCGCTCGTGGATTGGGCACATGCCCACATGTCCTACCTGTCGCGCAAACATCCCTGAGCTGGGGCCGTCCAGGGGCGATGTGATACAGGAAAGGGAGTTATATGCAACTGGGTCCTCCAATGTGGCTTCCCCAGCAGGTCATATCCCGTCCCCATTGTCGCCTACCTCGGAGCAACAACGTCGGCTTCAAGCTGCGCAACCGACAACTACGGCAGACTCATCTTCCATCAGAAACGTTAGTGAAAATGGTGTCTCTCTCGCACTTCCCAATGCCGACGCCACTTTTGCTTCCAGGTCTCATCAATTGGGTTCCGGGCTGTCTGGAGTGGTGGCTCAGCTAGCCGACGAGTTGTCTACGGCCTTTGCTGCTCTGAACAATAGGAGCGGCGTGGACAGTAGTACCATGCAGCATGTGTCAACGACAGTAATTGTCAACAACCTTGTTGACGCTCGACGGGACATATTGCCCTCACACTCTCTCGGAAACTCTGACCTTCCAGTCAAATTTCTAGGAGAATTGGAAGCGGAATTGGTAAGTTTCGTTCCTCGATATGTCCATTTTGTCCTGTAATATTCTGACACTTAGGTCTGGTCCATTGTCACTTGTGTTACTCCAGTTGTTTAGTCACTCAGGCTCGCGATGTGCCTTATTGATTGCATTCACCACCTTGAATTCAGCGGTTAAAATAATATAGATTTTTCCAAAACTAGTTAGGTTATGCTGTTGCTTATTTCTTAATGCGTTATCGTCTACTCTTCTCCACCAAGCCTACAATGCTTTCCTGTGTTTTTATGTATCCATAGTAGTCGGTGCCACTAGTTAATATATTATGGTAGACTTTGCTCAATAACACCTTTCAACTCTAAACGGTGTCCATTTGACCTTTGGATAACTAAGTTGCTGTAAGGCGGACTCAAAACTTATCGCCGCAACTATAATAATTTTGTTTAAATCTCTAACTGAACAAAACCGGCGTCAAATGCGTGGCAAGCCACTTGAACTTTCGCAGCTTGTAGCTTCCAAGGCTCCCGATGGCACTTTCAGTAACTGCCGTAGGTGCAGTGAGCAACGTTACGCATACTTATCTACACGTTCGCGTCATCACCCGGAGGCATTTGAGTGAAACCGTTTTGCTTCCCGTGTTTTTTTTTGAAAGAGTCCCTTGGACTAATTCAGCAGACAAGTTAGCGAAGGTGCACTATGCGTCAGAGTTCATGAAACACTGACCGATATCACAGTAAAAGTACAATTCACGCGTAGCGCAATTAGAGGAAGACATGTGATCACTCAGTGCCCTGTGCTCGCCTCCCCTTTGATCTACCGTTCTGTCGGTGCGTTTTCAAGTGAAAAAGACCGCTTAAGCAAGATCGTGAGGCATATTAGCGGATCAACTTATAAACGGCAACTGTTGATGTAAAAGTGACCATATTTTTAGCCATCTATGTAAATTACACTTGGCATACTTCCTTTGACCCAATTGTGGAAAACTTGGTGGCCTCCTTACTAATCGGCATAAGCCTACTCCGGTGTTGGATACTTCGTGTATATCCCATTTGTATAACCTGGTTACCTTCTTCTCTTCTCTATAACTTAACTGCTGCGTCTAATGGAATCAGTATGCAAGGTTAATTGACAACCTAAGCTACTTTTTTATTCACACTTGCCTTTCACAGTTGCCTTTATTGACCGAATTAGACATTGACGATTTCTGTTGAATTGATTTTCAGATGACCTATCTGGAGCCCTCAGAATCTACCGCTGATGGGGTGGCAACTAATGAATTATTGTCTCTCCCAAAGCAGTCCTCGGAAATTGCTGGTCCATCTGTTGCCGACCCAAGCCAACCATCTTCATTATTAGAAGACCCTGATATAACAGAAGTCGCTCCCTCTCTCCCTTCAAGTCCTTTAGAGTCCTGTGAAGACAGCTCAGAGGAGGAGTCCTCACCCAAAAAGATTGTGCGTCAGGTGCGCATACCGGTAATGTTGATTATAGTAGTAATAACTGTTTCACATTTGTTTTAACTTTCACGGGAAGGTAGGTTACCCTGTAGTCTAGCTGCTGGCTGCCCTGTCCACAGGTGGCAGATAGTGGAAAGGCCTCCAGTGAAGGTTAGCTGTGAAATAAGCAGATTCTCGGACCTGGCGAATAAGCAGTCGCGGGCCGGCAGCGATAGTGCTACCAGGATGCGGCGGATTGAGGTCTGGCATTCCAAAAACCTACAAAATATTGCAAAGCCTGACGATGGCACTGTGAGATGGTGACAACCACCATTGAATAAGTTCGCTTGCCACCGCAGCTAGGCTGTTGAGCCAAGACACTAGAGAAGATAACCTCGAACGAAAAATCGTAGCAGCTGTTGGGGACCCGCCTGTACTCACAAATCTCAAGAAACCTCGTAAAAACTATGTCCGATAACGGTCATGAAAACGATTAACCTTCGTTTTTTTCTGAATTCCTTATCCCCCCTCTTAACTTCCTTTTGTTTTATTGAGCACCCCTGCGGGCGGCTCCTTGTACTTACTGCGCCCTTGTTGCCGACGAAGCAAAATGCTTAGTGCCAAAGCCTCGTTGATATTGATACTGGTGTGAGCCTAAACGGTTCGTGCACGCAAGCATGACCTCTTCGGATTTTACGTAGTAAATCATGCCGCATACTATTGACATACTATTGAGTAAGATTGTAACGTTTCCAAAAACCAAACTTCTATGACTAAATAGCAGGGAGCGGTAAACTTACAAACTTCAAAAAGACGGTTCACACACGTTGGCCCGAGCAGAGTTATGTTAAGACACTTAACATTCCCTCCATACAGTTATTAATGGGCCTCATTACGTTTGTCTGACATCGTTGTAAGTATATCCATATGAGGAAGACCAGTTAAATTTTCTTCATAATATGGTAAAGGTCACGCACTAAACTATGCTGGTTTACCCTTTACAATGATTTCATTCAAGATGAAACAATAGCTTATCTACTGCATATGCCTCTTTTGTTTGGCCCTGCTTATGTAAGTTATCCGTCCTAGGAAAAAAACAGATAAACAGTACCTTTTTATAATCGACTCTTGGGAAACTGCAACTTTGACACTTTTCCATTTTACTACTTGCTAGGCTAAGAATTCGTTGTCCAAAGTACTTCGATATGC